CTTGATTATCTGTCTTTCGGTCTAAGAAAATAGCAATTCTTTTCACAGGAATCTGCTAGAATCATACTTCAATTAGATAAGCGGTATTTTAAGCAAGAGGTACCAAAGAATGCTTATAATTTACTAAATAAGATTGTTAGCAGATGTGCTTAAAGTAAAAAATTTGACAGCGACGTTTCGTAGTATGTGCTTTATTAGCAGAGTAAATATGTACACCCGGATCACATATGAGATTCATTTGAATGAAATAGCAACGATAATTGTTTGTCATTGTCTGCGCCTTTCCTCTTCATCCTATAATTGCAATATTATAGATTGTCAGAGGTCGTAGGTATAGCAATTATACTGCTGTTGGATAGTAGAATACTTGTTTCTGGTCAGAACCGAAGCGATTTTCTACTTTACAAGTATATAAACCACCGTATTCCCATTTTCCGTGTTTGATAATCAGATCTCCATTTGCTAATACCTGAAAATATGCAATTACTTTCATCAACTCGCTGCATACAGACAATCAACGTTAAATATTGATCAATATTAGAAGATATATATTTCCAACAAAAAACATTTACTAAGCAATGAATGGACTAACAGCAAATTCGATGATGAGCACCCAAACAAAGCATGATGCGCTAAGCAACAACTAAAAAATTGCAACAATGCGGAAAAATGTTGATGATAGATCTTATTAATCATGGGAAAAACTTTCGTCATCATTCCACTGCATTAAACATGCAATATACAAATAGCGATGCGAATTATGTTTTATTTTCAATCATCAGTAAACTCACTCTGTTCTGAGATGTTGTGGTTTTTCACTATGTAGCTGATAGACTAATTAAGATATAAAAATACATATAAACTCTTCTTGATATGGGTTATTAAAGCAGCTGCGTGAAAATATCAGACTGTAGCCGAAGAGTTGTGAATGGTAGAAGTAGATGAAAAGTACCAGAAAATCTATTGGTTCCCAAAACCTTAGCAATTGTTTGACTCGAATTTCTTAGTCTAATGACAGCATAGTGCTGTTGTTGCGATGGCAATGCAGAAGAAAACAATAAAAGTTTTGGATAACCTCAGAGTCATGATTAGGCAAAAATGCCGTAATGAAAATGTCTACATTTTATAAGGCGTGTTGGCAGTTGGAAGAGAGTGTGTGGGACTCTGAGGTAAAAGACAATGGGAAACCTTTCACAAGTTTGATAATTTCATTGCATTTCATCTGTCACGAGTCAATTCAAGACGACGCACATAAATGAACCACTCATTAAAAAGACTCCAGGTTCTTGATTCTGGATCCGTAGGTGATAAGCAGGTGGTTGAGCGACTTATGGTTCAAAGCAGCAAATACGTATGATGGTAAAACTTTCATTGTCAACTCCTTTCGCTACATACACCGTACCATAATCATGGCTGTGCACAAATAGCTGCTTGAAGGCATTTACATCCAACAAGCGAACAATACTATAGTTTTCCATTTAGCACATGCCTTACAAGCAAAGTGCTGTTAAAATCGTCATATCGATCCGATTTTGCATATTACATTCATGATTGTGCCCCAGCTTTGATTAATAACCACATAACATATATATTCTCTGCATATCCGGTATTTCATTCCTAGTATATGCAAGGACCGTTTAATTAGCAGTACTAGTTTAGTGTGATCTTTGTCTATGACAGATGTGAGTCTGACTGAAAGAATGTCTTTGGGTGATCACATGCCGCGAAATACCGTAATAGTCCGTTTGTCCAAGGCGCATGGTAGATACGTGCCCTCTGATCCGGACGTTAAACTTCCGGTGGATCTTTCCAATGTATACCTTACCGTAATCTCTGCACAGGACACTGCGTATGACGTTTAACGCTTCTGCCGGGTTGGTAGGCATGTACTTCTTGAATAAAATATTGCCCCAAGTTCCGCTAGTTTGGTGGCAGACTCGAAACCCGTTTTCATTTAGAAATCTCATGATACGTTCAGATATATGGGATATGAACGGTAAAATTAACATTGGTCAGCATAGAGGAGGCATCGTTAAGTTTGAGTTAGCGCGCAGAGGTTCTTCGTTAAGCCTCTTCCTTCGGGAGATATTTATTGGAATCGTCTGGTATCGATGTTAAATTTCCATCTATGCCAGAAGTGATTTAACAGATTCATTGATCTTACAAATGCACACTTTTCACAAAATTCTTAAGTAAATCAGGAGAGAGGCATGACGTCAGGTGGAGGTACCGATTGGGGTGAGTTGGTTTCCAATAGACGAAAACCTCAAACCTCAAATTGAAACGATGGTGTCCTATTCATCAGCACTTCCAGAAAGGATATGGGGTGATTAACCTCCTCTTCAGTGGCAAAACGTATTCGGCCATTGGCAGCTGGTCCATTCAAGTAATCCACAAGCCTCTGCAAATTTTTCTGTCTGTCCATATTTCATTATAATAATAAGAAAATGTCATCAACGAATTGGACATCGATCAGAGGTCATGATTTTGGCGGGCTTTCACTAAGGTTTTTCAGCTCCAGATGATCCGTGCAAAGTTCCCCTAAAGAGCACTTATTTGAGAGCCCGTCGGAATGCCGTAATCTGGTGGTACACATTGTTCGCGAATTTGAAACTGGTGCCTATTCATCATCAAACCAAAGAGTGTCCTCAATTCCTCAACGCTACAATTTCTCAACCCGCTTTTGGATGTCTTCCACCACTTTTTCAAGATTTCCGAGGGAGCATTATCAGGCGTGTTGGCATACACATTGCTGGAAAGAAAAAAGTTCTAGGAAAAGCATGAAGCTATCTTGATGATCATGTTCTTTCATTCTGCATGGAAATTCTTCTGTTTTTCACTCCATCAGCCATCGCTTTAGTGGAGGGATTAAGTAGCAAATCAAGCTCTTTGCCAATCTGACACGTTACCGGATTCAGGACAGAAGTGCATTCTTTCGGTCATATCAGAGTGTCTGTCGTGGACAAAGACCATTATGAATTTGATCTGCTGATTAAGGACTCCTTGCATATACTAGCAACGAAATACCGGATATGCATTGAATACATATCTTCTGTGGTTATTAATCAAAGCTGGGCACAATCACGAATTTGATATGCAAAATCAGGTCAGCATAACAAAGATCCGATTCCATTTTAAGAAGACATTTACTATGTGTCTGTTGGTTAATATTCTGGTAAAGCAGTTTAACAATATCTTGTTTGTAAGGCATGTGCTAAATGGAAAACTATAGTATTGTTTGCTTGTTAGATATAAATGCCTCCAAGCAGCAATTTGTGCACGGCCCTGATGATACTACGGTATATGTAGCGAAACACGTTGGCAATAAAAGTTTTACCATTTACTGTTTTTGATGCTCGGAACCATCAATCATTCAACTATTTCTCCGAATTATTCATTATTGATATGGAAATAATTCGAATTTGCTGGGGATGTGAGAAATAATTTTGTAGGGCGATGGTTTTGCCTCTGATCAGTTGCAAAGTTTGGAATGGACTAACAAGTGAAAAAATTTTAACAAAGTTTTCTGAGCAAATTTTCAAGAAAAGTTTCAAATCAATCAAATCTACTATGCCGGTAGTACAACAGCAGTAGAAACGAAGCACTTGTAGTTCACATGCAAGGTATATTTCTGCTTGAATCAGAGGACAAATGAAAGAGAAAGGTGACTGACTGCAGCTCGGTCACCTGAATCAGTTTTCACCTTTGGCTACGTTGGTTTTCAGAAAAGAAATAAAATTGAGGAACTACCCAAATGAATTCTCTTTTACCTTATTGCACATAAGTTTTGACTAAATAATTTTCAGCAATTGAGTTATCAGTCTAAAATGTAGCTTAAACACAATACGTAAAACTTACTTCATATTGATCATTCGTTCTGATTTCGTTACCTTCCGGGTCGAGCCACAAGACTTGACTTTTTGAAAAACCCGTTGTCCGACAGAACAATTGTACGGCGTTGCCATTCATTTCAAACCGAAAGTCGGACCACATAAATATTTGAGGAGGTTTGGATACTTTGCATTTTTTCACTGGTTGTTCCTCTGAAAATTTCAATGCTTTAATTTGGCAAGAAATAAATTTTCTGATTTGAAGTGAAATCAACTTTCCTTATCCTTCACAAAGGAAGTACCCATAGGAACATAAAGGTTTAGAAAATCCGGTCATGCTGTCCACAGCCCCTAAGTACTGTGCTGCCACCTAATACATTAGCATACGACTGTATAAAGCATGGATGATGCTAAGTACTGAACCTGTGTTGCGGTTGTTTGTTGAGATCACCACCTTGAGTCGTTTCCATAAGGAGAATATTTCTGGTCTCTGATGTCCGCTGTATTCACAGCTTTTCAACACTTCTGCCATAAGGCGCCGGTTACTGTCTCGCGTAAAAGGAAATATTCCTCCCCAAAAAGAGGTCTCGATTTACTTTTTCTCTGTGTTGTATGCTAGCTTTTAAGTCGACATCTGCCGTATTCTCGTTCCAACGCGAGAAGCTGATTAGCTGGAGAAAAAGATTTATGCTCAAACAGTTTGTCTCAGGGCCATCCTGATTTTCTTAATCTTCAAATCCACTGAGGTTACTTGCCCTTGGAAGCGAATAGAGTAATTCCTTATGTTAACCTACCATTTAGCCACCACTGTGTATCGAAGCCAACTGTCTTGTACGTAGTTCCACAGTTCTTATTGCTTCTTTAGAACAACTGTCTCCATGCCGTACAACAGCACTAACGTAACAGAGGCAAGGTACGGGAGGATGTTTGTGTAAAGCGATTCTCCTTTTTCAGCCCAGATATTGGACAGATTTCCCAAAGCATTCAGGGTTACAGCGATCCTCCTACATAACACTGATTAGATGGTGATGGAGCCGAGATACTTAAATTGATCAACGTCATCTGGTGCTTCCTTATTTCA